CCCTCGCCTTCTCCCACAGAGTCCAAAAGTCTGTTCTATACATCTGTGTCTCTTTTTCTGTTTTGCATATAGGGTTATCGTTACCATCTTTCTAAATTCCATATATATGTGTTAGTATACTGTAATGGTCTTTATCTTTCTGGCTTACTTCGCTCTGTATAATGGGCTCCAGTTTCATCCATCTCATTAGAACTGATTCAAATGAATTCTTTTTAATGGCTGAGTAATATTCCATGGTGTATATGTACCACAGCTTCCTCATCCATTCGTCTGCTGATGGGCATCTAGGTTGCTTCCATGTCCTGGCTATTATAAACAGTGCTGCGATGAACATTGGGGTGCACGTGTCTCTTTCAGATCTGGTTTCCTCGGTGTGTATGCCCAGAAGTGGGATTGCTGGGTCATATGGCAGTTCTATTTCCAGCTTTTTAAGAAATCTCCACACTGTTTTCCATAGTGGCTGTACTAATTTGCATTCCCACCAACAGTGTAAGAGGGTTCCCTTTTCTCCACACCCTCTCCAGCATTTATTGCTTGTAGACTTTTGGATAGCAGCCATCCTGACTGGCGTGTAATGGTACCTCATTGTGGTTTTGATTTGCATTTCTCTGATTATGAGTGATGTTGAGCATCTTTTCATGTGTTTGTTAGCTATCTGTATGTCTTCTTTGGAGAAATGTCTGTTTAGTTCTTTGGCCCATTTTTTGATTGGGTCATTTATTTTTCTGGAATTGAGCTGCAGGGGTCACTTGTATATTTTTGAGATTAATCCTTTGTCTGTTGCTTCATTTGCTATTGCCTATGCTTTTAGTGTCATGTCTAAGAAATCATTCCCAAGTCCAATGTCATGAAACTTATCGCCTCTATTATCTTCTAAGAGTTTCATTTCTTTAGCTCTTATGATTAGGTCTTTGATCCACTTTGAGTTTAATTTTTATTTATGGTGTAAGATAAGGGCCCAACTTCACCTTTTTGTATGTAGATATCTGGCTTTCACAACACCAATTCTTGAAAAGACTCTCCTTCTGCAAATGAATAGTCTAGTCATCTTTGTCAAAAATCATTTGACCGTATATGGGAGGGTTTTTTCCTGGGATCTCTGTCTTATTCCATTGGTCTATATGCCTGTCTTTATGCTAGTACCACACTGTTTTTAATTTATTTTTATTATTTTTAATTTAGGGATGCTTTAGGTTTACAGCAAAACTGAGCAGAAAGGATGGAGATTGACCCATATAATCACTGCCCTCATGTATGCACTACCAAAATCCCACACCAAAGTGATAGGTTTGTTAAAATCAATGAACCTTTGTTGCAGATCATTATCCCCCAAAATCCATAGTTTATGTTAATGTTCACTTTTGGTGATGTACATTCTGTGGCTTTAGACAAAGGTATGGTGGCGTGAATGTACCATTATGGTATGAGATTGTGTAGTTTCACTGCCCTAAAAATCTTCTGTGCTTTACTTATTCATCCCTCCCAAGACTAACCCCTGGCAACCACTGATCCTTTTAGTGTCTCCGTAGTTGTGCCTTTTCCAGAAAGTCACATAATTGGAATCATACTGTATATAGCCTTTCCAGATGGGCTTCTTTTGCTTAATAATATGCATTTAAGGGTCCTCCATGTCTTTTAATGGCTCAATAGCTCATTTCTTTTTAGCACTGAAGAAAAGTCCATTGCCTGGCTGTCCATGGCTTATTTATCCACTCACTTACTGAAGGACACCTTGGTTGTTTCCAGGCCTTAGCAATTATGAATTAAGCTGCTATAAACACTTACATGGAGGGCTTTTTTGTGGACATAAGTTTTTAACTAATTTGAATAATACCAAGGAGCATAATGGCTGGATCATACAATAAGAGTATGTTTAGGTTTGTAAGAAAATTCCAAACTGTCTTCCAAAGTGGCTGTACCATTTTGCATTCCTATCAGCAATGGATGAGTGTTCCTGTTGCTCCTCACCCCCGTCAGCACTTGGTATTGTAGTGTTTTGGATTTTGGGCATTTTAAGGTGTGCAGTTTTATCTCATTGTTGTTTTATGCGCTGTTTTGATCACTATAGCTCTGTTATAAGTTTTGGCATCAGAAAGTGTGATACCTCCAAAATTGTTTTGGCTATTTGTGATTCCTTGATATTTCATGTGAATTTTAAGATGGCTTTTTCTATTTCTGCAAAAAAAAAAAGTCACTGGAATTTTGGTAGGAATTTCATTGAATCTGAGGATCACTTTGAGTAGTGTTGACATCTTAATAATATGAAGATTATTATTTCATATACTTCATATTTCATTATTATTTCATATTATTTCATCCTTGACCATGGGATATCTTTCCACTTATCTGTGTCTGCCATTTCTTTTGGAAACATTTTGTAGTTTTTAGTGTACAAGTCCTGCCTCCTTGGTTAATACCTAATTATTTTATTCTTTTTGATGCTGTTGTAAATTGAATTGTTTTCTTAATTTTCTTTTTGGATTGTTCATGGTCAGTATATAGAAAAACTGATTTTTTATGTATTGATTTTGTATCTAGTAACTTCGTTGAGTTCATTTATTGTGTGTGTGTATGTGTGTGTATGTATATGTAATCTTTAGGATTTTCTACATATAAGATCATATTATCTGAAAACAGATAATTTTACTTCTTCCCTTCCAATTTGGATGTCTCATTTCTTTTTCTTGCCTATTACTCTGGTTAGAACTTCCAATACTATGTTGAATAGAAAGTGGCAAAAGTGAGTCTCCTTGTCTCCTTCCTGATATCAGAAGAAAAGCTTTCAGTTTCACCATTGAGCATGATGTTAGCTGTTTAAGCAGTTTTTTAAAGGATCTTAAAAAGACATGGGATCATGAGATGCTGGTTTGGTGGTTTAATTGCTAAGTCGTGTCCGACTCTTGCAACCCCATGGACTGTAGTCCGCCAGGCTCCTCTGTCCATGAGATTCTCCAGGCAAGAATACTGGATTGGGTTGCCATTTTCTTCTCCAGGGGATCTTCCAGACCCAGGGACTGAACCCGGGTTTCCTGCACTGTAGGCAGATTCTTAACCAACTGAGCTACCAGAGAAGCCTGAGAGATGAGATGCTGGGACCTACTTAATATCATGTTCTCTGTTTTCTCAGCACTGAGCAAAGTGCCTGGCACATAGAAGTTATTGGATAAATTTATTTAGAAAAAGACAGTTTCTCAAAACTTAATGAGCTAAGGGGTCTCTGAATGAAAGGTTGAACTTAGAAATCATGACAGTGTCAAGGATTGAAAGGCGATCCTAAGGTTGATAAGGATTCCTAGGTTATCCACTGATGTGGAGCAGGTGTTGATCCCACAGGGTGGGCAGCAAAGCCATTTGGATCTTAGTAAATGTTGCTTGGATAGTATGCTTTATAGAGGAGCCTCCTCGTTAAGTTATTTTCCCCTCTTCTATATTAGTACTTAACAGCTGGAAGACAATAACATATGTTGTATCTCCTTGTATTTATGACTGCTGAATTAATAACTTCAACCCACTGGATACAAAGGAAATGAGTGAAATGCTATAAATTATAGATGGAAGTTGTTAATGCTAATAGAGTGTGTAACATATGCCTCACTTTGGCACAGTTTTGAGACAATGTGAATGATGTAAAGGGCTTGAGTCTGTTTGCCTTCATTTTAATTTGGAATCATTGGGAAGCATTGAGTCACTGCCATTTCATTGGTAACACCATGTTCTTTCGCTGGAACTTCACCCTCTTAGCTTGGAGTGGATAAAAGTTCTGATTAACTATAGTCTTAGGGTGGGAAAATTGGATGCTTTTACTTAATATGCTGATATTTCTCTTCATTTGGACTTCTAACAAGTAGGTTCTAAATATGAACTAACATCTCCTCGCTCTTTTCCCTTAAGGAGGGTCGAGTGATGCATTTAAAAAATACATTGTGTAAATGCAGAGCTTGTTGATAACTGGGGGAGGAAATAAGGTGTTGAAAGAGCAGGCCCTTTGGTCTTAGCAAGGGATTTTCTGATTGCAAGTAATTGAAACCCTCTAGCTTGTGCAAAGGGGATGCATTCTAAGGGTATGAGACTGCCTCACAGGATCCAAGGACAGAAGGGACAGTGGGGCTCAGAAGGGCCTGGGCCCAGGATCTAGAAGCCCTGGGAACTGAGGCCACTCGGTCTGTGTCGCCAGGGCCACATGGCCTCGTCTCTGCTTTTCTCTCTGCACCTGCTTCTTTCTCCTCTCTTAGTAGACTGGCTGCCTTTGCTTCTCTGTGCACATGGCCAAGCACAGCTGCCCGGCTCTGGCGTTTGATCACTTTCAGTTCAAGGGCCGGCAGAGGCTGCTGGGCATCTCTGATTTCCATATTCCTGGAAGAGAGAATCTGGTTATCTCATCATGAGTCAGAGGACTATTCCTGGTTTGTTCATTTATTCATTCAAAAAGTCTTTGTTGAATGCCAGGAACAGTTTTAGGCACCCGGGAATACATCCTGCCCTTGGGGACTGTGTATGTGTGTGTGTGTTGAGAAACAGAGAGAGAGAGAGGTTGTGAGAACTTGTTTCAGGGGCACCAGTTTGCACATTGCAGTTTTCAGTGAAAGAGAAGTATGGTTTGGAATTCAGATAGACCTGGATTCAGATCCTCCTATTACCAAGCTCTGTGCAGCCTTGAGCGTGTTACCTTACCTCTCCCAGCCCCAATTTTCTCATCAGTGAAATGGGTATCATCCTTTCTAGAATGGTTATGGGGACTCTAATGAATGGGTGCCTGTAAAATCACTTGCAGAGTGCTGGCCATGCTGAATCAGAACCCTGCCTCTTAATGGTCATGACCCTGAGAAAATTACTTAGCCAGACTGAATCTGTTCCCTTTCCTGTAACACGGGAAAGAACATCGGCAACTTCACAGGCTTGTTACAAGGATTCAATCATGTGATGTGCGCCAGGGCACGGGGAATCAGTACAGAAGAGACACTCAGGGCGGTAGTTAATCACATTTCCCCTCTTTCTTCCAGTTCCCATTTGGCCGACGCTTGCCTTGTGACATCTACTGGCATGGAGTTTCATTTCACGACAATGACATATTCTCCGGTCAAGTGAACAAGTTTCCAGGTATCTACTGTTATTGCTGGCATTTAAAAATGTGTATAGGACTGAGTCTCAGGGTACACTCTTGGACAAAAACATGCCAGTGTTTTGACATCAAACTGGAGGGCTCTTAATTGGGAATGGCTGCCACTGTGCTGTGATCTTGGGAGGGAAGATGATCAGGACTTAACCCACCAAGGGCTTAAAGACTGGAAGTTCCAAAATGTGAAGGGATCGGCTCTTCTGGTCTAATTCCACTGGTGGAAGAACGTGACTTTCACTTTGGGGTTTTTGATATAATATGGGTGTGCCATGAAGGGATGATATTTTCAAAATGAAAAAAAAAAAAACCATCTCTAAACTCACCATAGTTTCTGGAACATTTCAATGACTCGGTGAATGTGGACTCTGAGAACCTCTATGTGTGTGGCTTTCCCTAGTAGATCATGAGCTCCTGGGAGGGGCCGTGACTCCCACCCCTCTGTAGATGCCCGTGGCGCCTGCAGCCCTTCTAGACACACCTGAGGTACTCTGTGACTGCTTTCTCACTGACTGATTGAAACTCAGAGGCAGCCCCAGTTTTATGCCCATCGCAGGGAACGAGAAAGCCTGACATTAAAGCAATAAAATGAACCATTTCCCCTACAGAGTTAGTCTAACATTAATAAAAGCTTCATGTTGCACTAAAATACATAAACAAACCCATTTAAATTTCTAATTAATTTGCAGGAGACAGAGGTACTAAAATTCTGGGACTTTGTCCCAGAAATGGGATTCACAGTTGCCATTTCCTTAAAGTGTCACGTTTGGAGGTACTGTTTTAAAATCGAAATGCAGCATCTCCATACTGGGAACAGGAGGTTTGGACAGCTTCTGTCTTTATACCCTGAGGGCATTATCTAGTGAGATGATTATCTAGTGAAACTGCCTGGGAGACTTGGTGCCAGACAAGTGCCACGGCCGACACTCTAAGAGACCTCCCCACTCCATTCCCAGCCACCCTATCATATAACTTTTCCTTTTCCTTTTAATCTCTACCACCTTCTTCTGCCCTGATTACTATTCGTTATTTCCATTGGTTAAGTGAAGAGGGAGGGGTTAAGGTGAGTGGGAGTGTGTAAGGAGAAATGAACATTTGGTTAATCAGCGTATGATTTCAGTGAAAGAGGTGCCACTCATTTTCAGAAATTTTTACATAAGACACAAACCATATAGAATATGATAACAGATAAATTTTTAAAAGAACAGGGACTTCACTGGCAGCCCAGTGATTAAGACTTTGCCTTCTAATGCAAGGCATGCGGGTTAGATCCCTGGTTGGGGAGTTAAGATTCTCACATGCCTCACAACCAAAGAAACCAAAACATAAAAAAATAAGAAATACTGTAACAAATTCAATAAAGACTTTAAAAATGGTTCATATTAAAAAAAAAAAGAAGAGAGAGAACATCACCCTGAATCCCATTCCTCATTGAACGAAACCATGAGGCAAATATTTCTATTTATTGTTGTTTCATTGCTAAATCGTATCCGACTCTTTTCTATATTTATTTCCTCCCAAACCTTAATCGTGTTTGTGTATCATTTTTACATAGTTGCCTGACTATAAGATGTTTGCTCTAGTGTTTCATTTATGCTTATTTTTAAGAGGAGAATCAACTGATCCTTTTCTTCGACAGTCCATGCCACATCGTTAAGAAAATACCTCTCAGAAAACCCAACATCCATACGTTATACAGTGGCAAGCTATGCTATGTCCACTGGGGAGGGTTTCAACTAAGCCAACAGACTATCATAGGCCCTTTGGCTCAGATTCACTTGGAAGGACACAGGACAGGAAGCACAGCTTGCCAGCCAGTCAATGTCATGCATTTCTTTTTAGTTGAGTCTTTACAAGGGTTCCAGAGCTAAGTCTTTGGCTCCTCCAGTGAAAGCTCAGGTGCAAGGAGACACAATCCATGTTGGTGGCTGTGGATCTGCTTTGACTCAGAAACCCCATAGGAGCCAATAGCCCACGCAGCTCCTCCCTAGCATAGCTTCCAAGGTCCCCGCCAGGGTCATGCTAAGTTACAAGATTCATTACACTCAGGAAAGCCCGGAGCTATGGCTCCTGACCAGGTATTTATGCGAGATGCCAGTAAATGATCATTTTAACCATATGCTCTGGTGTCTAGTCACAGAGCTAACTTTCCCCCTTTATCAGTTTCCTGGGGAACAGAGCTAGAAAATTAACTCCAGATCAGATCAGTTCTTGGAGGAGGCAGGGTTTTGTCCGAGGCTGAGGAGGACTCTTGCAGCCAGGGTTGTTGCATGGTTTTAACGGGATAGCTATTATTTTCTCTGGCTGGCTGCTCATCAAAGATGACTTTTGGGGGACTTCCCTGGTGGTCCAGTGGTTAAGAGTCCTTCCAATTCGGGGGATGAAGGTTCAATCCCTGGTTAGGGAACTAAGATCCCACATGCCATGGGGTAACTAAGCCCGTGCAGTCTAGAGCCCATGTCACACAAGAGAGAAGCCCATGAGCTGCGATAAAGAGGCTACATGCTGCACCTGGCACAGCCAAATAAAATAAATAAATAGATAAATATTTTTTTGAAAAAAAGATGACATTTTAATGCCACTACCAGGACTTAACTGTGATATTGGAAGAACAAAATTTGGAAGAAAGCAACTCTTTGAATGAGGGCAGAGTTCCCAAGACATGAATCATCAGATGAGCTTCATTGACGTTTTGCCCATTTGCTCTTGCTTCGTCTGATGGCTGAGAGCAGGAAGGAAGGAGTCGCTATAGCTTGACATTTCGGATGCAGATAGAAATACAGGAAAAATTACCTTCAGAGGACGAGTTTCATTAAAGGTGATATAAGAACATTCATTCTAAAGAAGCATGCTCGCCCCATCTCATATTCCAAGTGCCAGTGATAGGAACATACAATTATCCTCTTTACTAACGCCAGCTAATTAGCTTTAATGACAAAGAAGGCTCTGGAACCTCTAGGCAGCGGACCAGTGCTGCCACACCCTCTGCCCTGTGAAAGACAGCATCCTTAGCGACGATTCCAGAACTGTGATTGGGTTGGTGTCCACACTTATCTTCCGTCTCTGATACATCCCATTATTCCAAAGCTGCATTTCATATGCACTGTGTATTACTTAGAGCAAGTTCCAGTGGACGTGCCAGGCAAGGATAAGCACTTCACATGCTGAATAAACTGAAAACTTTTGGATACACATATGGAAGTAATTTATTTTGTTCATGTCAGCACGTTAGATTTTAGCCACTTTTCTATGGGCAATTTCCTTCAAGATATGTTATTATATCTTAACTGATGAATTAAGACTTTCACTAAAAATAATCTGATTTAGATAGATCTTTGCCTTAAGAAAGCCCAGAACTGTCAATTCTCGACTTTACAAGCAACGGGTTTTGTTTCTTCTTTTGCTGAGTTGCTGGCTCTGGAACATGTGACAGCACATGGCAGGTGGCGCCTGAGAGCCCACCATGAGGAGGGGACTTTGTCAGAGAAGGAGGGGGCTCGAGGGAGGGATCTCTGGGGCAGCCATCTGCTAATTTCTGGTCTGGGCTAAGGACAAAAGCGCTTAAAGAGAAGTCAAATACAAGATAAGCACTATGCCAGAGGAAGCTTGGGGTGCTGTGAGAATAAGGAGCAAGGGCACATGACCTGACGCAGATTTGCTTGGGGGGCAGGTGGGGCAAGAGATCCTGGAGAAGAGGATTGCAAGTGTGAACTTGAGCCTCTAGGGCTGGATGGGCCTGACCCCCATGCTAGACAAGGGCGCAGAGGTGGTGCAAAGGTATAGAGTGATTTGCACATTGCTCATGCAGTGAAGGGCAAGCGGCCTGTGGTCGTTAGAAAGGGTCAAGTGTGATGGGGCAGTGGGGAGGTGAGAGGCAGGGACCAAGGTCACGGGAAGCCACTGAGAAATTTCCAAGCTAGAGAGTGACATGGGCCGGTGTGCAGTTGGAAAGATATTCCAGAGGGGGTGCCCTGGGGGTGGGGGTGGCAGGGTCAGGGCATGGAGAGGCTGAGAGGAAACAGCTAAGAGGCTACTGTATTTTTCAGAATCTGAAAGTGTTGTTTGCTGCTTGATGGTTATAGTGTGTTTTTGCCAAGAATTATTGTTATAAACGATACTTGGATTGAGTAGTACTCCCAACATAGCTCACATTATGTTTTGTTTTTAATTTGAGTTAACTAGATCCGTGTAGACAGGCCGGAGGATCAGACTGTTACACTTCTGTGTAGCTCCAGTGGGTTGAGATCCCCCACCCCCCACCCCCACCGCCCCAGGCTGTGAGACTGCAGTGAGGCAAACAGCAGAACCCAGGCTCAGAAGCAATGGCAGGAGGCAAGCTTTTGGGTGAGAAGCTCTAGCCTGAGTAGGGGAATGGCTACAACAAGGACATCTAAAAACAGACCTTCCTGAGAAGCCCAGGTGGACAGTCAGCCTCAAGAGAACCTGGTAGGACAGCAGGAGCCCAGCCCCTGGGCTCAAGTCACAGGAGGACTTCAGCCTTTGCAGCGGAGGTTTGGGGGCAACATGGGAGGAAGAACATGGGAGACATTGGGCAAAGGCATCGCTGAGGCAGCCAGTCACCAGGAGCCAAGAACACGTAACCAACACTTGAGGACAAGCAATGCACCTCAGAGAAATTGCTAAAATCCTCCTTATCTGGCCCTCCCTGCTGGTACAGTGGTTAAGAATCCGCCTGCCAATGCAGGGGACACGGTTTCTATCCCTGGTCTGGGAAGATTCCACATGCCTCGAGCAACTAAGCCCATGCACCACAACTCCTGAAGCCTGTGCACCTAGAACCCATGCTCCACAAGAGAAGTCACTTTAATGAGAAGCCCAGGGACCACAACAAAGAGTGGGCCCCACTCGCCATAACTAGAGAAAGCCCGTAAGCAGCAACAAAGACCCAGCACAACCACAATGGATGAATAAGCAAATTAACTAATTAAAAAATCTCCTCCTTATCTAGTTGGAGTACGAAGGAAGGGTCCCAATGTTAGCAAAGGGGAGCTGGTGGTGGGACCCAGAGCTTCTACCTCAGGTCGGAATGGGTCCCCACACCTTGGGCAGGGGTCACAGGTAGGAATCAGGTGCTGCCTAGAGAAGGGAGGCGGAGTCTGGAGCCAGCAGGGTCTGGCAATGACCTCCCTCTGTACATGTTTACTCTGGGAACATACACTCTGGCCCAGCTAGAAACCCAGCTACTCTTGTCAACATCTTCCTGAGCGAAAGCAGAGCCCATATCTGACTCTGAGCTGCGGCCCCAGGTAGGGTCGCTAGCAGCTTCCTCCTTGGGCCTAGTGGGGGCTCAGAGACACTTTCCCAAAGCACTGGGTGGAAACGCAGCTTAGAGATGGCAGAGGACCAAAGGGGTCAGCAGAAAGTGGGTTGAGGGAGTCTACACTGCTGTCTTCTGGAGACAGGTGTTCAGACAGGGATAGGGGTGAGCCGTCTGCAGCCTGCGGGTCAGAAGCATCTGGGAAAAGTAACATCCATGGTTTGTTGGGATGGCTTCTTAAGTTGGATGTTGTTTAGAGAACTACCTGGAGACAGATCCAAGTGTAAACTCAGAAAACGGATATGTTAGCTGGTGTGGGGGGTAGGTGATCCACATGACAAAAGGAGCCATTGGATATTTCAAATGAGTGTTTGTTCCGTTTGCTGGACACTGATTTTCATAAAACTTCTCTGGAGCATTTGAACCATACTCCTGTACTCACAGCCTTCCTATTTGTGTTGTGTGAGTCCTTCCACAGGCTAAGGAATTTCTGCAAGCAAACATTCCCTGCTGTCACATGGCCATTAAAACGGGGACAACACCCCAGCGCTATTTGGCCCATCATGTATTTGCTGTAAGGCGCTGTATTATAGGGAGCTTCCCAGGTGGGAAACCCACCTGCCAACGCAGGAGACGTAGAGACATGGGTTTGATCCCTGGGTTGGGAAGATCTGGTGAATCAGGGCACAGCAACCGACTCCAGTACTCTTGCCTGGAGAATCTCATGGACAGAGGAGCCTGGAGGGTTACAGTCCACAGGGTCTCGAAGAGTCAGACACGACTGAAACGACTTAGCACATATGCACATGGTATTACAGTCTGTTATAAAGGTTTTTAATACTAAAACTAAAACTTGAAATCCAACTATAAAATGCCTCCAAAGAAGTTGGAATTTCATGTACTTTGTGTTCAGCTCCCATGTTTATAGCTCAAAACTTCTAATTTTGTGGGGGAAATAAAAGGAAATAGCTCTAATTTTCTGAACTCATACTGATCTCTTAGGAAGTTCTGAAAGTATCCTCAGTATTTTCTCTAATATCAGAGAATCCATGTTAGGGCACAGTTTATTAGTACCTTTAAAGCTCCTTTATTTCTTATTTAATCCTTCCCTATCTCCTTCTAAACAAGAAGTAAGAACCTGACATCTTCAAGCTGTGATCTTTTAGATTTTTATTGCTCTTTTTAATATGCTAAGGGAAGCAAGAAGTAGATTATTAAAACCTTCATTCTCAAGGATTCACCCTTGGCTTCCTGAACATTGGAGTTTAGAGAAACCTCATGCATTCTGACTTTGCCCATTGGAATGTGGTAATTTGGACATGCCAAGTTGATGTGGAACTTTGTACTTTCTAGTAAAAACTACTTTGCTGGCAAATTTCAAGTCATTAATGGAATTGTGTAGCCTCTTTTGGGGTGAAGGCCATTTTTAGTGTCCTTTTTTTTTTTTTTTTTTTTGAGCAGTGATATTTGCTTTAGGAAGTAAGCATGCTAAAGTTTAATTTTTATCTATTTGCCTAAAATTTGCTAAGATATATACTAAGTTCCTTTTCTTGTCAGCATTTCTAAAGATGTTACAAGGAAAAAAAATCTACCATTCTTTTAAAATGTTTTATAAGTGAGACTTTTCTATTCCCTCTGGGCAAATTAATGAGATCTGATCAATGTCAGTGTCAGTACTTAAATAACTGAAGAACTCCTACGGTTTCCATTTTTTCCCCTTAAATTATGCTGTAATATCCTCTCTACTTCCTGTCCTTATTTCAAGGAGACAGATTTTCTGCTGAAAGGTGTATATATTTTTCTACTTTATGCCTTTAATACTCATGAAAGATTAAAACAAAGCAACTTAATTAAGCTTCTCATAATGTAGCCAGAGTCCACTAGATAATATTCTCCAGGGTATAAGATGGAAAGAATCCCAGAGGTATGTGTGGTGGCCCAAAATTAAAGAGGATATTAAGTTTTAAGTGCAAGATATAAATTCTTCTCTTTATTCGTTATCTAGGGGGCTGACAAAGAATGGAATAATAAACTAGGTGGAAACTCATTCTTTCAAATTGATGCTTCATTTTTACAAGGAGAAAAAAAGATCTGTCTATTCCCTCAAGTTTTTCATTAATTTGGCAGGTCTTTCCAAACCATGAATCACCGCTGTGGGGAACTACTCATACCTTTTTTTAAAATCCCGTCTGAAAAAGTGAATGTGTCGGGTGGGTGGTTTTAAAAGTCCCCAGTAATGGCTGTTTTATAGCTAGTGGCCCACTGTTGTTGAAACCCCACAACTTCTCTTCTCCCCAGGCATGACGGAGATGGTGCGGAAAATTACACTGAGCAGAGCTGTGAGAATCATGCAGAATCTCTTTCCAGAGGAGTACAACTTCTACCCTCGCTCATGGATTCTGCCTGACGAGTTCCAGCTCTTTGTGGCTCAGGTAGGTAGTACCCCACCCCCCTGACCTGTGAATTCTATGATGGCTGCAACTGGATCCTGGGTCACGTGTGCTGGGAGCTGGGGCAAGGGGTCCCTAGGAAGCTGAGACTGGCCAGGGCGGGTGGGACGGGGGAAGGTTTTAACAGGACATAGCAGATATTGCTGCGATCAGGGCAGCTTGCAGAGTTGAATGGATAAGATGACAGGTAAACTGAAAAAGTGGGTCCTGACACCAGGAGAAAGGCCTGAGGATGGTTATCAGGAGCTAAATCATGGAGTCAGGGCATTTGAAGAGCCAGGAAGACATAGTGGAAGCAGGCAGGTGAGCCCACAAGCGGACTGGGGCTGTTTGGGTGAATCCCAAAAGTGTGGTCTCCCCGGTATCTTGTTGTGTGAAACATGGGAGGTCAGGCTCTGTTTCAAGGCCAGGGAGTAGGTCTGACCAATGGAGGGGGAAACCTTTTAAGTGTCCTGCTTTAATCTTGTTCCAGAATCAATTTTCCTGTGACCCATTCCATATCCAAACACTAAAAAAAACAACAACTTAAAGTGGTAATTTTGAAAAAGAAGCTTTCCATGGAATGGTGGTTACAGGGGTTTGTAGACATTTCTTAAAATTCTTCAAATTATTAACTTAAAATAGAAGCGTTTGTTGTATGCAAATTAAATTGTGGTTAATTAAGAAATTAAATTTTGGGTGGTCCCCATCCTCACCCCTCAATTTCCCACTTCTGTTGATCTGCTCAGACAATTGTCAGTATGTGGAATACCTTTCTGTCCCATTTCTACAACTCTGTATGTAAGTATTCTGCAAGGCTGAGTTTAAATGAGATACCAACTATGTCTTCAAAACCAGATAAGTGAGAGGAGCATTGCTGTCATCCCCAAAAGTCCCTCTTTGTCTTTTTTCCATTAATCCCCATACCCCTAGTCCAGGTAACCACTGATCTGCACTCTAGGTTAGTATTGCCTGTTCAAGAAATTTATATAAATGGGATCATACAGTATGTACTATTTTTTTTTTGAGAATTATGTTTTTGAGATTCATCCATGTTTGTTGTATCAGTAGTTAGTATTTTTTATTGCTGAATAGTGTTACATGATGAATCTAGACCAACTTGTTTATCTATTCACCAATGAATGTTCATCTGGGTTTTTTCCAGTTTGGAGATATTATAAATAAAGCTGCCATGACTAATCATATACAAGTCATTTTGTGGATCTATGTTTTCATTTCCCTTGGGTAAAACCTAAGAGTGGAATTACTGGATCATATGGTATGTGTGTGTTTAACTTTGTGAGAAATTGCAAAATTATTTTCCAAAGTGGTTGGACCACTCTACACCCTCTCCAGCAGTGCGTGAATTCCACTTGTTCTGTGTCATTGCCTGTACTTGGTATAGTTAGTCTTTTGAATTTTAGACACTCAGGTGTGTGTACAATTGTATCTCTTTATGGTTTTAATTTACACCTCCCAATGACTAGATATTGAGCATCTTTGCACTGTGCTTTTGGGCCATGTGAATATCTTCCTTTTTAGGTGTGTATTCAAACTTCTGCTCATTTTGTTAGCATTTTATTTTTAAATTGTAGGTTCTTTCCATACAATTATTTTGTATATGTATTGCGATGTGTATTAATATACTGTGAATATTTTCTCACACTTGGCTTTTCAGTCTTAACCTTGAATTTTCACTTTTTACTTCTGTCTTTGGAAAAGCAAATGTTTTTAATTTTTAAAATTTATTTATTTATTTATTTTACATAATCATATATCAAAGTATTTATTTTATTTATTTTTTTTGGTAACAGATTTATTTATTTTTAATTGGAGGATAATTATGTTACAATATTGTATTGGTTTCTGCCAAACATCAACACAAATCAACCATAGGTATACATATGTCCGGGTTTCCCAGGTGGCTCAGTGGTAAAGAATCCACCTGCCAATGCAGGAGACGCAGGAGTTGTGGGTTCAATCCCTGGGTGGAGAAGATCCCCTGGAGGAGGAACTGGCAACCTGCTCCAATGTCCTTGCCTGGAGAGTCCCATGGATTCAGGAGCCCGGCAGGCTGCAGGTCATGCGGTCATGAGGAGTCAGGCAGGACGGAGCAGACAGGCAGTTGCATATGCCCCCTCCCTCCTGAAACTCCCTCCCAACCCCCACTCCATTCCATCCCTCTAGGTTGCCACAGAGCTCTGGGTTTGAGCTCCCTGTTTTTAATTTTTATAACACAGAATGTATCAGTTCTTTTCTTTTATAGTTTGTGCTTCTTGTGTGATGCCTAAGACACTCTTGCCTAACTAAAGGTTGTGAAAACTTTATGTTTTGTTTTTTCTAGAAGCTTTATACTTTTAGTCTTACATTTATGCCTGTGATCCATTTCAAGTTAGTTTTTGTGTACAGCATGAGATTAAAATTGAAGTTTACTTTTCCCATATGGATATTCAGTTGCTTCATCATTCTTTGCTGAAAGGATTGTCATTTTCCACATTGAATTACCTTGGCATCTTTGTAGTGGTATGACCTTCTCAGTACAGTCTGCCAGGAGACACAGGATGTCAACATGTCTTAATTCTGGTGATGTTAATTTTGATCACTTAGTTAAGGTAGTATCAACTAAGTTTCTCTCTTGTACAGTTACTATTTTTCCTTTGTAATCATTAAGTATCTTGTGGGGAGATATTTTGAGGCTGTGCAGATAGCCTATTTGTCTCATACTTAAAAAAAAAAAAGCCCTAATTAAGGTACAGTTAAACTGCAAATATTTAAAGTGTGCAGTTTGATATGTTTTGATATATGTAAAAATGTGTAAAACCATCATCACAACCAAGATAATGAGCACATCCATCACCCCAAACTGTTTTGTCATGTCCTATTGTAATCCTTTCGTTCTTCTCCTCCCTGCCCTCTACCTCCCATCGCCAGGCAACCGTGGGTGTATCTTCTGTCAAGATTAGTTTGTACTTTCTAGAATTTTCTATAAATGGAATCATACCAGAGATACTTTTCTGTACGTGTTTTGGGGGTGGGAGAATCTGGCTTTTTTTCACTCAACCTAATTATTTTGAGATTCATCATGTTATAGTTTCATCAATAATTAATTCCTTCTTATTAAGCAAAAGTGAAAGTGTTAGGTCCTCAGTCATGTCTGACTCTTTGCAACCCCATGAATGGTAGCCCACCAGGCTCCTCTGTCCATGGGATTCTCCAGGCAAGAATACTGGAGTGGGTAGCCGTTCCCTTCTCCAGGAGATCTTCCTGACCCAGGGATCAAACCTGGTGTCCTGCAATGCAGGCAGATTCCTTAACATCTGAGCCACCAGGAAGCCCTCTTGTTAGTAAAGAGTATTCTATCAAATGTATTTACCACAGTTTGTTTATACCTTCAATTGCTGCTGAATATTTTTATTGATTCCAGGTTTTGGATATTACAGAATGTTACGAATAAATATATTATGAACATTCCTGTATAAGTGTTTTTTTAGACATATGTTTTAATTTCTTTTGAATAAAAGGTTAGGAATAGAATGTCTGGGTCACAGAGTAGGTGTCCATTTAATTTTAAAGAAATTACCCATTGTTTTCCAAAGAAGGTTGTGCCATTTTGTATTCCCAACAGCAACATATGATAATTCTAATTCTTCCACAGCCTTGCAAACACTTGGTAATAGTCAGTCTTTTTTTTTTTTTTAATAGTCAGTCTTTTTAATTTCAGCCGTCCTGACAGGTGTGCAGTGGTTTCTCATTAGTTTTAATTTGTATTTCCCTAATTATTAATGATTCTGTGCATCTGTTCATGTGCTTATTTGTAATCCAAATATATACTTTGATGAAATATCTATTCACATCTTTCACTCATTTTAAGAACTGAATTATTTTTACTATTAAATTTTGAGACTTCTTTGTATATTTTGAACACATGTGTTTATCAGCTATACCAATTACAAGTACTTTCTCTCAGTTTGTGCATTGTCTTTTCTTCCTTTTAACAGCATCTTTTGAAAAGCAAGTTCTAAAATCTGATGAATCAGTTGATTGACTTTTTTCCTTATGGATCATACTTTTGGTGTCATGTATCAGGAATCTTTATCTAACCCAAGTTCACAAAGATATTCTCTTATGTTTTGTCTCCAAGTTTATAGTTTTAAGTTTAGGTCTATGATTTGTGTCAAGTTAGTTTTTTAATATGATGTGAGATATGTATTTACTTTTTCTTTAACATGAAATATTCAACAGCTTCAGAAACATTTGATGAGAACACTAACCTTTCCCCCCATTGCTTTTGTACGTAGGTTGAAAAGTTGCTTAAGTATGTGTGGGTATATTTCCGAATTCTCTATTCTGTTCTATCAATGTGTTTGTCGATCTTTAAAGCCAATACTTCACTGTCAAACAAAGATGTTGCAAAAAAGAAAAAATAAAACTACAGACCAATATTCCTCATGAATATAGATTCAGACATACAAAATGAAATTTCAATAAGTCAGAGTCAATCATATATAAAAAGGATAATGTGTCATGACGCAGTAGAATTTGCCTTAGGAATGCACGCTTTGTTTAACATTTAAAAATCAATTTCTTTAACAGACATAGGCTATTCATATTATCTACTCTTGAATAAGCATTGACAGTTTGTATCTTTCAAGGAATTTGTCCTTTTTTTCTGTTTTCACTTTTATTGTCATAAAGTCATCATCATATTACCTTTTATCCTTTTACTGTATGCAGAATTGTTACTGATGTCAGTTCTAATTCCTAACATTTGTAATCTATGTTCTTTCTTTTTCCTCATCAGTGTGGGTAGAAATATATCAGTTTCATTTACTTCCTTTGTTAGCTTGTAGTTTTAATTCTTTTTTTTTTTTTTTTGGTGGTTCCTTTAGGATTTATGGTATATATCTTTAACTTATGACAATCTATTTTTTAAGTGATACTATGTCATTTTACTTATAGTATGAGAACATTATAATACTATACTCCCACATTCCCATTCCTGG